GTTGATTTGAAGTGATGATTTCACAACACCAATTGGTTGTGTCAGGTTCTCTTTCCACATTGGGGCGATCGGGAGTTGCGATGGATCAATGGACAAATAATGACATCATGTGCTGTATCCACTTGTTAAGTCAGCAAAATGTTTCAACATTTTGCCACGGCAAGAGCAGCGGTTTGCCTCACCAGGCCATGTGACGATGATGATGGTTGCCAAGCGGCAAGGCCGTGGATCGAACGCACCACTGTAGCTCCAGACGGCATGCTCAGCCAATGGCAGGAGCAACCAGACACCAAGAACCATACCCTGGCTATTTTGTCGGAGAATATGACATTGATGAGTTCCGAATTGTGTCCCATGTATTTCATTGCATGTCTGATGTAAGTTCCCATTTGTCAGTGATGACTTGTAGTAGAAGAAGGCGTTTTTAGGAAGGTGCCTTAAACTTTTGCAGTCGATTATGGGGTAGCTGACTTTGATTTGGGGACATCACTGTTAGGTCTGAATTGAACCATGTATTTCTTCATATCCTAGTGCTACCCATAGATAGAACTCCCTGGGGAGTAAGACTGTATGTTGTTAATTAGTACAAGTGCGACATTTGTTATACAGGAGATGTCCGCGCACACCCGGACCTGGAATCTGAAAGCAGCACTTGGACCAAAACCATGCAAAGTTAATCAACAACATCAACATACGAAGGTAAATCAACATGTGCTCGCCGAAGAGATTCCTAATAATACTCATAAGAATCAAATTCTTTCACTGAGAAGTCAATTGTCCAATCATGTCCAATCTGTAGCGTCGCCCCAATACAAACATCAGTTAAAACGCGCTTGGCGAAAAAGTTCCCTGATAAGCGCCTTCCTTTGAAATTATATTCAACCAAGGTCAAGCACAATTTGCTGCCTGAAGAGACACCCTAATCAGGACCAAAGTATCTATATACTAAAGAACTGTACATATAGTTTCACATTCATTTTGTAGCAACCTGATTTAAAGCCTCAAACACATGGCCTCTTTTATTATTTCACCATGTTACCAGCTAGGGTCAATATTGACATTAGCCAGGACTCAGTTTGAAATATCTGATGGAAAACTTGACAATGGCAAAAACCATTACCAGCAGATATATAATTTCTATTTATTAGCCAAAGGATTTTGAATGAAACCAATGCATAATTATAACCACGTATAGTCATATAGATAATACGCTACAATATGCACAAAATTAAACATACAGCGACTTACTTTATGTTCCACATATCTAATTATATCTCTGTGATTTATCTTGAACATAGCTATGTATGTTCTGTTCTGCATACATTTTTCATGTACCCAGCATAACATTGTTCACATTCCAAATACCCACGCGAGCAAGAAGCGTTAATCCATTTTCATGGTCAGACGAAGGTAGACCGATTTTAAAACACCAAGGTCCTCAAAGTCAGGATCCTAGATCATTTGCCATTGCGGCTGGTACAGCTTAAATTTCGCATTGGGAAATGAACATGCAGCAGGGAATCATGGGTACTCATGCATCACCAGATTTATAGATTCCGCCGAAAAATCCAAGATCAGCAGACTCAGGCGCACATTTTGTGATGTTGAGTTCCGCCGAAGAAAAAAAATCAGCAGAAATCCTGGGGAAAACCCATTGAATCAGCAGAAGTCCACTACACAAAACCAGAAGATGAGTTCCGCCGAACCATAGGTCTGAATACTAAGTTCCGCCGAACAAAAAGAACAGCAGAAGTCAGGTATATACACAATTTGTGTAGTGGAGTTCCGCTGAAAAACAAAAAACTCAAGTCCGCAATTTTTTTTGCAATCGGTTCGGGGTCACAGGATCTCAATTTTCCGCCAATTTTTTTTCCAGCAGATCTCATGCCCCATAATCGGCCGCAACGGAAAAAACGTCCACAAAGTCTGCAGAGATTTGTTTGGCAAACAAATCTCAGACTTCAATGCAAAGTTCTGAACCCTAGACCCTACCTACCTATTGGCCATGGGTGGCACATGTGATCGGGAGGAACTTGCCTGGGTAACGCTTGGAAAATCGTGTGGACTTGGTGATGGGCAATATATCCACCCATTACCATGGTCTGGCCCCATGCTTTTTGAAAGCTCCATGAAAAAGTAGTTTAAGTATTCCCTTCCCCCGCCCCCCTAATTAATGCTCAAATCCACCCAAATAGTCAAAAACAAGTTAAAACATGTTAAAACTAGGCAAAGAAAAAATAATTGTAATTTGTACAAGTGCGACGTTTGTTATACAAGAGATGTCCGTGCACACCCGGACCTGGAATCTGAAAGCAGCACTTGGACCAAAACCATGCAAAGCTAATCAACAACATCAACATACGAAGGTAAAGCAACATGTGCTCGCCGAAGAGGTTCCTAACAATATTAATAAGAATCAAATTCTTTCACTAAGAAGTCAGTTGTCCAATCATGTCCAATCTGTAGCGCCGCCCCAATACAAACATCGATTAAAATGCGTTTGGCGAAGAAATTTCCTGATAAGCGCCTTCCTTTGAAATTATATTCAACCAAGGTCAAGCACAATTTGCTGCCTGAAGAGACACCCTAATCAGGACCAAAGTATCTATATACTAAAAGCTTTACATATAGTTTCACATTCATTTTGCAGCAACCTGATTTAAAGCCTCAAACACATGGCCTCTTTTATTGTTGAGGTCCACGACCTCCATTTCAATCCAGTTCGCCATTTAAGGTCAATAGTAAAATTGTCGTAAATTTTATATTGAAATAATAAGGGGAACACCTTGAAAATTGTGAAAACAACTGCTGGCAGATAGTTTCTATTAATTTCAGGAAACTTACCAAGAGCATGAAGGGGTGAAAGGGAATTACCCATTAAATCAAACTTAAATTTTGATGATCTATGACCCATGATCTAGATCCTTAGACCCCAATTCGATTGCAAAAGTTTCCTTGTGGAATCACAGTGCCATCCATCCGCTACTTCGCGTGGTGTGCAGAGCGGATAAACACAATCCCTCGCTGCATTGGACCTCGGACTTTCTTACTTTTTGCATCCTTCCGCCTTCCATGTGGATTTGCGCATTGCAAAGGCCTGTCTCGACCAACAGTGGATAGAATAATCTTAGAGGTGATTAATAAGGGGGGCATCCCCCGTCACAATAATATAAAGCGTCCCCGCAATTAGAAATCTTTCAGGATTTCAGTTTCAAACGGGTTGTGGTCATTTCATTTGCGTTTGGTTTTCTATTATATACCATTGTGAAAATATATTCAGACTAAATTTCTTGTCATTTCATTTGCTTTTGGCTTTCTGTTTACCAGTTTGAAGATATATTTAGACTAAAATCCTGGATATTCCTGGTAATTTCATTTGCTTTTGGTTTGTTTGGAAACTATTTAGACTATATTTCTGGTCATTTCATTTGCTTTTGGCTTTCTATTTGACATTTTGAACAATATTTAGACCAGATTTCACCTCGCTTTAAATTACACCTGACCCAACTTTAATTGACACCAAATTTGATTTCAATTCGAACATGGAGCAGTATTCGTCTCATTGAATGAAAGCGGTTTGGACACCGCGGATGATCTTGCAATTCCTTATCCTTCCTAGTTTCAGACCTGTTTCAGACCACTTTTTTCAGCCCAGAAGGAGAAAACAAATATTGGAAAAGCAAAGTCAGCCTAAGAAAGAAAGAAAACAAATGATTGAAAAGAACGGATGATAGGGAAACATGTTTCTATTTTTCCCTGTCTTCTGTAGTAGTTGGAACCAAGTAAGATACTTCTTCATGAAGAACTAAATAGCTGCTGAGATATCCCCGGAAAAGTTTATAATTTATAAGATTTCCGGTGATATTTTTTAGAATCTTCACAAGACTGTTTCGAAGGTAGAGTTTTCCGACCCACGTGTCAATCATTTGATCTGGGGAAATGAGTAGGAAATCGAACTGGAGCCAATTACGCCCGTACGCGGCTCCAGTTACAGACGTAATTGGCTCCAGGTAGGTTTCCTATCCGTTTCCTTCAAAAAGGGTACTCGAAAGATCCCAAATGGCCCTTGGATGGATGCTTTCTAGGGTTTCAAACCGGTTGCAAACTGGTTTCAAACATCCGTAACTGGGTGCCTTGTCAACCGTTTGATCTGGGAAACGAATAGGGCGCTTGGCCATCGAGAAGCAGCAAAAGTGAACAAGCACTTGCAAAAATCAACATGTCGATAGGCACTCGGCCATCGACACTGAAAATCAGTTGCAAATGGAGGTTTTAATTGTAAGTGGATTTAGTGGTAAAATCCTTGGTCAATGGAGGTTTTAGCGGGAAAACCCTACAAGAAAGGAAACTTGTAACTGGAGCCGCATTTGTGGCTCTGCTTACGGACGTAATTGGCATCAGTTAGCTTTCCCATTCATTTACCAGGTTGACAAGGCCCCCAAATGGGTTTTTGAAACAGGTTTGAAACAAGTTTCAAATGGTGCTTCGATGGATGGATGCTCTCCAAGTGTGATTTGTAGGCTTTCAAACTGGTTTCAAACTGGTTTCAAGCACCCGTTTGGAGGATTCCTTTTGTAGGGAAGAAAGTATAGATCGGATGCATAAGGCACATATTCAGAGGTTCAACTGGAGCCAAGCAGAACAGATAAGGAATATATTTAAAATGGAAGCACATGACCGGGAAATCTAAAGACACGAAGGACCGAGGGTTTTTTTCACGACCAACAACATGACCGAAAACTCAAAGTAAAGGGGAGCAATTGAAAACGCATACGACAGAAAAATCTAGGTCCGCCCAAACCTTTACATTACTGAGGGGGGTCTTATTGATCGTCTCCTAAGATTACCTCCAAGGGAGCATTCGATGCAGGCCAGGGATGAGCATTTTAGAAATTTTAACTTGGCATGTGGTTCAACTGAAGGCTTCAAGCGCTCGTTTTAGATCCACTTGTCGAATCTTAGATTTTTCTGGTGCTAACTGTCCGTGTCCGAGGTATGTCATGGTGCGCTACAAGTTTGATGTTGGTGTTGATGACACTCGCAAGGAAGCTTTCCGTGCAGCAGCAGCAGACTGGCGCACGCACACCTGCATCGCAGTGGTGGAGGATGATAACGCAGAAACTTGTCGTCCGAGTCGTCCAAAGATGGGGGATGAGTCACAGACTTTCAACATGAACAAATATCAGTTCACATCGGTAACAGTGTAGGGCAAACAAGAAGGCCCGCAGCTGATTCATGTTCTACACTGCATGAAACATTGCGGATGCAATATTGTTGGCCATTCAAGAAAAGACATGTCACTGTTACTCGAAAGAAGCACATCGTTTGACCAATCTACATCAATTTTCAAGGTAGAGTTCTGAAATTTCAGAAGTCGGGGGGATTCACATTGTTTTCCAGTTTTCAGATGAAAAACTGCCAGAAATCTCAGGAATATCCTTACATCCTGGTGGGCATCTATGCTGAAGGAAGCTGTTGGGCCTACTTGGGACGACCTTCGACTTTCCACAAGATCAACCTGGGATGGTGCAAAACCATGAGCCACAAAGGATCAATGGTCCATGAACTTGGCCATGGTGCCTGGGTTGAAGAACTGGAAGATGTGGTTTGACGATGGTTGATGATTGAAAATTAATTCGAGTCGCTTCGCGACGAGTAGTGCCCGCACCCAGGGAATAGGCCAGAGAGGAAAGAAGCTGCCTACTTGGCCCAACCAAAGCCAACTGGGGTCAAACTTGGCCGTCGTTGGCCTTCGAACACGAGCCAACTTGGGCCCAATTGGAACAACTTGCGCCGAACTCGGGCCAGTTGGCGCCAACTTGACCCCCATTGAGCACAAGCCCCCAGCAAAGCGAAAAAAACGTTGGCGGCAAAAATGCAAATTTTCGGCGTGTCGCGTTGAATCCGCAAAATTGGCCCGTTAAATTGTAGATATAAGTTTATGTAAGTTATTTTTTCTAAGTTCACCATGTAAGATATAACTACATGCGGTGAACTTAAGCTACTTAACTAAGTGTACTTTGGCTAGATAACTAAGTAGGCTAAATATATTTGCTAAGTTCGCTAAGTTGTTTTTTTGTAGTCCTCCCGGGGTAAGTTTTTTCATGGTTTCCGGCCAGATATCATAGTGTTGTCATTTCGGGCCCAACTTGGCCCAACTTGGGTCCAAGTTACTCCTGTCTTGAGCCCAACTTGAGCCCAATTTGGGGCCAAGTGGTAGAGTTGGGATGAAGTTGGGCCCAAAGGGACCCTAAATTGAAGCTACACGACGGGCACGAGAGTTGAGGTTGAGGTCATGTTCGTGCCATGGGGCAACTTGGGACCCTTTGGCGTCAACTTTGCTCGAAGTGTGGCCCAAGTTTGACGATGGTTGATGATATTTGTATGATTTTGTATGTACAATTTGTTATGTGTACATGTATATACTGCATGCAATGTGTATATATATATTATATATATATTCTATCTATGGCTTCAGGTTTGTGCTTGATCCACACTTCGTCACTTCGACTGGGTTTTGGTGCTTTTGAGATCCAGATCTGAGGTTTGGGCGTCAACCATGAGCAAAAGCGTGCTGATGGGTCGCAACAATATCATGGCAAGGGACCACACCTTGAGATGTTTTGGCAGAACACTGAGTCATGGGGAAGTCAGTACACCCCTGCCGTCAATACCTACATCGGTTCTGCAGATGATGGTGGAGACGACCCTCAAATTGGCTATGCTCCGTATGACTTTGATACTCGTCAAAACAGAAATCCCAGACCAGCGCAAGTGCGGCAATTTCAAATTATGGTCTTTGCGTGGTTTGGAAAGAAGGCTATGTATAAGATTATAAACTGTGGATATTTCCATGGTTGTTTGAATTTGCGAGTACCTTATATTTTGGACCATGGGGCAGCAGAGTCTTCCAAGTGTTTTTTTGTCTGAAGGAGAGCATTATGCACTACTTTCGACAGCGAAATGCCAACCACACTATCAACGAGGGTCGCTCAATCGCATTAGAGATGTTGGATGCTGGCTGGTGAAGCACCAGATCCAGATCCGTGCACCGCGTGGGCTGAACGCAGCTTGAACGCGGTGTTTTTACCCTCTCCAGAGAAACCACGAGGAGAAGGAGGAAGGAAGAGAAGGAGGAACATAGATGACAAAAACTTTAGAAACCCTCGGGTACTGACGTGCAAATCGTTCGTCGTACGTGGGTATGGGGGCGAAGGACTAATCGAACCATCTAGTAGCTGGTTCCTTCCGAAGTTTCCCTCAGGATAGCTGGAGTTGAACAGTTTTATCAGGTAAAGCGAATGATTAGAGGAATCAGGGCGTGCTGTCTTCGACCTATTCTCAAACTTTAAATGGGTAAGATGCACAGTGGTTGCTTCACTGAACTTCTGGGATAAATGACAACTATAAGTGGGCCGTTTTTGGTAAGCAGAACTGCCTCAGAATTTGGGAAAAACAGGCGCCAAAACCAGGTTGTCACTTACTGTACTTGACAGTCATAATCCCGCATTGTTGTTCGGCTTGAGAACTTGAGCCGGTAACCTTGAAGCACAGGGGTTATTTGGACCCGGATCATGAATTGTTGCTGGGCAGCTCTGTTTTTTGAAGAACCCGGCGTCAGGGAATTGGCATTCATTTATCGTGCAGAGCTCTCCATGAGGCTGGTACTTCAACACCATTCCATCGTCTGCCCAGAGCCTCGTCGGGCAACGCAATGCCTTGTCTGCAGGGGACATCAAGCAAGCCTTGGACGCATATCGATGCAGAGCACCAGGCCCTTCAACAACTGCAACGACTACAACGACTACAACGACAACGACCACAACGACCACAACGACCACAACGACCACAACGACCACAACGACCACAACGACCACAACGACCACAACGACCACAACGACCACAACGACCACAACGACCACAACGACCACAACGACAACGACAGCCACAACAACAACCACAACCACAACGACTACAACTACAACTACGACGACGACAACTACGACAACGACAACCGCCATTGGATGTTCGGGCAATTGCCTGGAAACCCGCGAGGTCACCCTTAGCACATCGGCATGGGTCAGCATTGCTTTCACGACGCCTTTCGCAGCAGTTCCAGTGGTGGTTGTGACTCCAACCGAGACAGGCCCATGTGGATCCATGTGGACACATTGGACACATGCCAGTTGTAGTGTGCTTGAACGTATAGAAGACACGTATAGGAGACTTGTTTTTTTGGGTGACCTTTGGCCTTCCGGCAGGAACCACGGATCCAGCATCCATTCGCTTAAAGGACATCACTACCACTGGTTTCTCAGCAATTGTTGCCAAACCACCAAACAAAGCTGTGGGTAACAGCGCCATGACAGAGTCTCGGCTGAATGTCTTGGAGTTGACCGCGTATGACACTCAGTTCCCCAACCGCAGGTGGTAAAGGCCCAATTGAGTACAGCATGGCTTTGGGGCCGATCCGCATTTGATTGATTTGGTCGGCGGTCTCAAATGGATGCCGTTTTCCAATGGCAGGTGACTTTCCTTGCAGCTGCGCCGGGCGTGCGCCAACTCGGAGGAGCCATGTAGGTGATCCAATATTTGCAGATGTCCAAAATTGGCTAACCAGTAGAAAATTTGGTCAGGTTATCCAATATTGATCTTTGCCATGCAGATTTTCTTAGTAGACATAAATAGACAAAGTATCCCGAAATAGCAGCAAACAGAACACACATGACAAAACTAACCAACAAAAGTGGGACAATTGCCCGTCAAGAGCAAGCAAAACTGGCAAACAAATGGCTTCGTCGGGTTTTCACAGATCGACACTCTTGATGATATGACACAGCCACAGCCATGTGTACTGTGGTTACATAAAAACAATAACCATGAAGTAGAGAACACACAATGCAGGCCCAACATATGCAGCACTTGAATGGCGCTAGCGTCGGTGCGTTCAGAGTTTCTGGCACCTGCGCTCCCACCGGCCCCCCAGGCAGGCACAATCCCTTGGCTTTGCAGATCAGAATGCCCCAGGCCCATCCCCATCCCTTTTACTCAACGGTCATCTTTATGGCCCCTAAAATGGTGCCCTCCTGACACAGTCCATTCCAGGACTTTGGATGGAGGCTGGTACAATTTCAACGCAAAAATTGGCGTATTCCACGAAGTGCTTAGGTTCAGGCGCAGGGGATTTGCAGGTTGGCTTCTGCGCGGAGCTGCAACACTGAGTTTTGAAGGCTTGCCTTTGAAACCAACAAACTTCGGTCAATAGCGAATCAATGAGATTGTATGAGATTGTCCTTTATGTGTGTACGATCGTGCTGGCTTCTTTCTGTTTGTTCCCGATTGTCCACTGTTTGTTTTCACTTCTGCACGCTGCACCGCTGCACCTTGCCGAGGCCTCCCCGCGATCTCGTGGGAGAAGGTCTCCTTTGCCCATGAGTTTCCAGCCCCACCGGCTTTCCTCAGCAGCATTCAGACCGTAAACAATGAAAATGGTCTGCCATCGAACTCACAACCATGGCTCACCGTCCCTCTGCCAGCAGACGGATGGATGAAGTGAACACGGTGAACCAACTCAGACTGGATTCTTTGGAGGGAGAGTGACAACTGAGCTTGTACTGCCTATCATTAAATTGGGAACGATGCATGCCAAACCTAGAAATATTATATATATATATATAAATGAGAGGTGATTCGGCAACATCTACTTGAAAGACCAAGGTTAGTTTGAACAGCGTGAAAGTGAATGAAGCATGGGTAGGGAGCTTAGATGAGCTTGCATGGCTCGGATTGCTGGAATGCTGATGCTTCACCAAAGTTCTTTGCCCAGCTGCCAGTCTGAAGTGGCTTTGCTGAGGTTGCTTTGGACAGGGCAGAAACAACCAGATATGGACAGGCAGCTTACACCAAATTGGCCTAAAAGGTAAGACATTGAGCAGAGAGAAAGTGAAGCAAGCTAAGCCGCTAAGCTCTTCCTAGGCGCATCTAGCCGTGGGGGAAGAAATGCGAGCACCAACAGCTTGCAGCTTGTTGTTTCACACTTCTCTGTTGTATACCATGAACCACCCAAGGACGGACCTCATTGAGCATTCAAAACTCTTATTTGAAGGGCAAAACACGGGCATACACGGCTTTAATTTGCGTAGTATTCGCAGAAGCTCAAACCCACCTCGTGCAAGCGGCGCGAGAGCTTCGCGAAGGTCGAGTTGAAAGACACCGCCTCTGGATCCCTCTGGGAATTTCTCCAAAAAATTGGACTACATGACAGTAACATGACAGTATTATAAAGATAACATCATAAAAATAACTACATGTATCAGAAGTTTTGTATCGGTGGTTGGTAAAGTCATGTGGATGTAGCATTATCTGTCTTCGTCATGAAGCGGCAAGTAATGGAATTCAGCAATTCTGCAAGGCAGAGCTAGTAAATTCAGTCTGCAATTTCCCGGTCTTTTTGGCGCACAAAATTTCCGCTAGCAACCCGTTCGCAAAAACTGCAAAAAAGCAGCTTCGGCTGAGACATGGCCCTGTAGCCTCCGCAGAGTATCTGATCTTTGTGACTAAGACAGCCAAGACGGCAACGGCAACCGCAAGGTCCACAGCAGAACAACAAGGAGAAGAAAAGGAAGGAGAAGAACACGAAATAGATTGCGGCAAGTTCTTCCAGCTCCACTACTGTTCCACTACTGTTCCACTACTGTTCCACTATTGTTCCACTACTGTTCCACTACTGTTCCACTACTAGCAGCATCTAGCAGCAACAGTAGTGACAAATAGACGCGCACTAGCATTTCCTGCAGGTCTTAGTTCTAAACATGAAAGAGAAAATGGAGGTGTTCAGACTTCAAGGAGTCGCGCTTTTGTAGGCTAAACATGACGTGGCGAGCAAAGAAATACGACTTAGCAACCAAACAAGGAGAAGTCATTTTTGACGAACCGACTTTTTTTTTTCAGGAACCCATGCGCCACCATTATCACCATTGTTTGGAGCGGTGTGTGGGCTTCAATTGTTTAGAGGCTTCATTTTGGACTACATTATGACTACATTATACAATGAAGCTACCTAGTTATCCTAGTTCCATTTTGTAGTGCTTTTGTGGGCAAGATATCCTGGCGGGATCCAAATGGGGTTCCATTTGGGCCGGATCTGGGGGGTTCCATTAGTGTTAGCACTTCCAGGTATGGCGGTTTTCATTTCAAACCTGCAGACATTTGAAGGAAATGAAGCAAGACATGAGACCAACATGGATGAACGCAGTCGGAAGATTTACGTGTAGGAAAATGGAGGTCGACAAAAGATGAACATGTGATCAACAAAATGGGAGTTCCCTCCTTTTTGCATCGGAGATTAAGGTGTAACAAAACAACTCTTAGCAGCATTTTGAGTCAGTAAGGAACTCCCAAAACTCTTAAAAGATGCACAAGACACTTACAGTATCTTACAGTGGTTGTTAGGTTCAGCTTTGGAAAGGAAGACTTCAAACAAGGGTGAGTAATATGCCAAATTCCTTTGAGATGTCAGGGTATTGTAGTCCATCCCTACCAGCATTTTGACATGCAGGCCAAGTATCCGCTAGACATTTCCCAAGAGCCACCTGTGCTGCCTACCATGCCAGCAAGTACCCCTAGGCAGCCTCTTCGGTCTGGAAATAGACACACCATTGGTCATCAAGCTCAATTTTGAAAGAAAGAAAGGAAGGAAGGAAGGAAGAAAGAAAGAAAGAAACAATTTAAACATAGATGAAACATGATGAAACATGATACACTGATAAAGGGTTGTTCCATGTGCGCCCACGAGCTCCCACCAAAATGGCAACACCCGAGTGTGTGGAAAGACGATTCTCAAAAGAACAGGGTTATATACATGGGTTTCTTTGGCAGCATGGGAAGTTGCCATTCAGGTGATTGCAATGTGGTTCCACTCAGACCATGTGCTCCACCAGAGACTGCAATAGAGTTCAAAGGCTTCTAGTTTCAAATGCACTTTCATTTTATATAGCGCGAACATCGGGTGAGGCTATGTGCAATCGTTTTAGGTTTCAACAATGGAATTGCATTGCGAAGCGACGGAATTCGCAGGGGGTTCTGCAACAGCGCGCCAAACTCAACGTCACAGGTGAACCAAGACGAAGTGGTGGGCTACATTGCTATCCAAGGCGGCTCCGCAACCTTGCAATCAACTACAGGCGGTGCAATGGAGGGATGGGTAGAGACAGTTGGCGCTCTTGGTGAAAAAGATGGAACTAGATAAGATACTGTATCTATACAGCAATAATAATCATAATGTATTTTCAATATATGAGGTCACGGTCCATAAGACTTGAACCATTGACACCACATAAGAATCCCGTTCCAGATATTTGGGTGCATTCTCCAACACGCGGTTTTACAGCCTCAATCATTCAAATTGGACAGTTGGGTCAAAACTCAAGTCAGTCCTCTGCCAACACTAATGAGTAGTGAAGAACGGACATGACTGAAAATTGGAGTGACGAACTCAGGTGTTTGACTGTGTTCTTTCTTGTTTGAGAGATATGCATTCCATGTAATTCTGTTGTCACTTTGGTTGTCATAACACGATCTGTTCTTTTGCACGCATCTCTTGTGAGGTGCTCAGGTGAAGATGGCAGCTGTGGTGTCAAAAAAAAACATTCGCGGTTGGCAGAATGGCGCATACACTGTGTCACTTGGCGCCGACCTGTCCGTTGCTAACCCATTGGCGGTGGCAAGCCAGAGCACACGCTATAGCAGTGACGGTGGCTGGGCGCGCCTTCGAGGAAGGGAGTGATTAGATTTTGCATGTGACTCTCAGAACTTGCGGGAAATTTAGCGAAGTGGCGAATTCTGCAATTAAGGTGGCTTTGGGATGATTTAGGATCCTTTGGGGCTTGGGACCCAGAGATCACCAGAGACTTTTCTCAGGGCTTCGGGAAACATGCAAAGCTCCTCCAGGAGGTTCTTCGTCCTCCGTCAAAGTTGCAATCGACGAGGATACCACCTGTGACAAAGACAGACGGCATAGCCGGGAAATCGTGAGCGTTTGTGCCTTCTCCGGCCCTTGTGTTCTTTGAATTTGTCTCATGCATGACAACTTGTGCATGAAGCTTGAAGCCCTGGCAAACCCAGGTCAGGTGCTAAACGTCAGGAAAAAAAAATGCAACACGCTTTCAGCGATGTGAATATATTGGAAAGGAAGGATGTTTATTTTTGGGTTTGCCAGGGCCTTTACAGATATAGTTTGGTCAGAGGCCTTGAGGTCAGCAGCTCCAGGATTCAATCCTTTCAGGCGACATGGCCTGTCAGATTGCTGAAAGATCCCAGCTTCGGATTGGCAAGGAACTGCATTTTCACGTTTGAAGGCAGCGCCACTTGTCAGGCCTTGCTTAGTTTGCGGCCACTCGGCACTGTCAGCCTAGCTTCCTGGCGAACTGTCCCCAAATTTGCGCAGAAGCTGAGGCTGAATGTAAAGCTGTGCATGGCCCGTGGCTCCAGAATTCAAGAGTGTACCTTGCGATATAGAGTCCTAAAATGAGCTGAACAAGGTCCAGCCAGCGTAAGAAAGGTGCTGCAACCAAATCGAGCAAATCCAGGTTGACTAGTCTCCAGGATAGTGTAGAAAAGCCTAGTGACTGTGAAGTGCATATACTTAATCTTGCTTGCTGCAGCCATGTTCTCGAATGATTGCCACGATCTAAAAGAAGCCTTGCGATCCATTCTGGATGATGAAGCTTGTGCCTGGATTGCAGTGAGGACCTCGACTGTTGGATGTGATTTCCCCCTTCCCGCATGAGGCATGCTAATGATTGCTAATGTATGTTCCATCCAGGGGGAAATGGTTCCTTAATCGTCATAATCCCCCGGGTTCTCACACGGGTGGCCAGAAAGCATCTTTCATGACAAGAACGCTAAGATGCCCGCATTTTTTTCAAAATGGATCTGAAGCTGTGGGACAGCACCTTGGTACTCTCTGTTCAGGATCTAGGTAATACAAGAAGGAAAATTTGCGGATGACATCGCGGATGGACAGCATTCCCCCCGCCCGTCACCACACTCCCCAAGCTGGAAGGACATCTGGAAAGACATCTGGACAAAAAAAGCAAAAGTGGAAAGCCAAACCGTTTTCGACCTTTGACTTTTCTTTTTGGGCTTCGAATTAAGGCACCATAATTGACTTTTCAGCTTTTTCGTTCTTTTTTCGTTTGTTGATGGTGCTTGTGCAGTTTTCAAACACATCATCCAAGAGAGAAGCATTCAGCAAAAATCCAAAAAGTCAAAAGGTGGAAAAGCAAAAGAAGTACATGACGACATATGTCGACTTTACGTTTTGGCTCCGGCTTGGCGACTTTTCGATTTTTCCCCATCTGTCAGGAAAAGGTTTCAAGATTTTAATAAGACATCGAGCCATCCTTCTCTTCCTCCTCGATCCTCATCCTCTTGCCCGAACAGTATGTGAGCTCCGGACCCGAACCCAAAAAAACGAGCTCTCTGCGTGGGCCCCGCAGGACCTACACCAGATAAAATGTCAGATAGAATGCCACACAGAAGCCAGATAGAATGTCAAATCAAATGCCAGACAGAATGCCAGATCAAAAGCAAGTAAGAATGCTAATTAGCTAATTGAAATGTCAGATAGAATGCTAGATTTTATGTCACCATATATGTCAGATAGAATGTCAGAATTTAGAATACCACGGTGGGGGTTCACCCTAAGACAGTATTTGCTTTTAGTGCCAGCTTTTCGACTTCGCGACTTTTTGCAAAAACCAGCCTTCACCCTAGGCTGAAGCTGTTTACTGCGAGCAAAGTGAACTAAAAGGGTCTGGGGAAGGGAGCATCATAGTTGTGTTTGTGTCGTTTACCTTGAGGTTCAGTGATGATGGGGCCCGGAAAACGGGAACATGAAAAATCCAGCTTCCATCTTCTCATAAAGAGCTTTACTCACTCCCATAAAATGCTGCGGTTGAGTAACACTATTGTTTTATTGTGTATTGAGTGATACTCTTTTCTTTGTAATGCCACACATGTCAATAGTTGGTTGAAGCCACAAGAACGTATTTATTTTCGGGTTTAAATAACTTAAATCGTTTCCTGCTAGGCTGACATGAACCGTGAAAAGCATTGAACAACAATGTTTATCGATCCAAGTAAAGCCCGCGCAAGGCGGGAGGCGGAAGTTTCTAGCAGGAAGCTGCTCGTATGTTCCCATAAAAGTGAAGGCAAAGTTTTGCCTCCAAGAGTTGCGGTGATGTCGGTGATGTCTTGAATCTTCTCAACTCTTTTCACTACTCTTTTCTCCACTCATCCTCACCTCTTCTCAGCTCTTCTCTTCTCGTCTCTTCTCACCTCTTCCCACCTCGTCTTAATTCTTCTCACCTCTTCTCAACTCTTCTCAATTCCTTTCGTCTCTGATAAACTCTTCTCAACTCTTCTTACCTCTTCTTGACTCTTCTCACCTCTTCCCAATCTTCCCACCGCTTGCTTCTCAATTCTTCTCACCTTTTCTCACCTATCAGCTCTTCTTGAGAGATCCCCACCTTTTCTCAACTCACTTCCCTCTTCTCATCTCTTCTCATCTTCTGAAGTCTTGTCTGAACGCTCCTCAAGTCTTTTCTCGACCCGTTCTCAAGCCTTTGCTTCTCAACCTGAACTCTTTGGAACTTTTTCCTCACATCTGCCCAACTCCTTTCTCAACCTCTTACCAATGTTTTCTCACCCAATGTTTTCTCAACTTTCTGACAGTCTTGTCAGGTCCCAGAACACCCCCTGCCAGTGAATCCCGAGCGCGCTGCTCGCCTTTTTTTCATTCGGGCTGAGAGGTCAGTTTCAAGTGCAGTGCAAGCAGGAAAGGCGTGCGCATCATTGACTCTTGACTGTGAAGGTTGGCGGATGACTTGCCTGGACTTTAAGCAGTACAGCTGCATGCCTCTTCTTTCCCAGTTACAAGGTTGCGTCCGCAAGCGGAGCCGCACGCCTTTTTGTTCTCAGGGTCCACTAACTTCGAAGCTTGCGCCGAGGAACCATGTCTCTGGGAATGACGTGGAGGAGCAGCACCAAGGAACCTTGATGCAGCCATTCCACTGCGATCTGCAGACACTGACTTCCAAAACATCATAGAATCGCAAGACATACCTCGGCAACGTTGATGCAGCAAATCCAATGCACAAAGTAGCCTGGCACCTGCAAAATAGCATAGCACAGCGTGAGCAGCAAGATATCAAAGGCACCTTGAGACCTCAGCTCCACACTGCGTCCACACTGCGCACATTTCGAGAAGGATTCAACGCTAAAGCGACAATGGCTGCACCCGTCGCACAAGCGAGCCGTTTCGCGCAGCTTGTAACCTTCAACGCTCATCCTTGATGCAACGGTTCCACTGCGATCTACCAACTTCAACAGTGAGTTGCAAAACGTCGAGCGCAATACATACAATCAGCATCCCTCCCTACCCTCTTAAAAATGAAATTTGAGGGGGGGAGTCGTACTGAAATTTTATTTTACAATTCCATTCTTGCATTTTTTCTCAATGATCAACATTCCTCGTCATTCCATATCATTGGCAAGCAGTTGCAAATTAAATACTTGCGCTTAGCTCCGGAGGAGCTAAGCACATGTCAGACTGAAGCAGCACATGTGTAGGGGTGGCATCCCTCCAAAAATTGCGTTGCCGTCATCGTACTTGCGCTTAGCTCCGGAGGAGCTAAGCGCAAGTATTTTGTAACCAGTGCCCAAGGCTTGTTACGAAATGTTACTTAAAAATTCCATTTGAGGGTTGGATCACTATCCGATCCCAGGGTTTCCAAGCAAAAAAAAGTGGATTTCGACAGGTTGGTTCTGTCCCCCCCCCGCCCTCCCCCCTCTATAGGGGTAGGGATCAATCAGCAGTTGATGCAGCAGTTCCACTGCACAAAGTAGCTCTGCAGAGCGTGAACAGCAAGATGGCAAAGTCACCTTGAGACATCAGTCCACTGTGTGCGCATTTCGAGGAGGATTCCGCGCTGAAGCGACGATGCCCGCACCCGTCGGGCAAGCGAGCCTACTTTTCTCTGATCACTGATGTACGTTCACCTGAAAACACAAGGTTCCGCGCAGCTTGTAAACTTCAGCGCTCATCCTTGATGCAACGGTTCCACTGCGATCTACCAAAAGTGAGTTGCGAAACGCCATAACATCATCTTGTCAATTCTTCTCGGACCTCTTTGCCAACTCTTCGCACCTCTTTCCAACTCTTTTCAGCCTGTTTTCAACCTCCTTGGCAACTCTCCTCACCTCTTCTCAACCTTTTCTCACCTCTTCTCAACCTCTTCTCAGCCTCTTCTCACCTCTTCTCAACCTCTTCTCGAGCTCTTCTCAACTCTTCCCACCCTCTTCTCACCTCTTCTAAGCCTCTTCTCACCTCTTCTCAACCTCTTCTCGAGCTCTTCTCAACTCTTCCCACCCTCTTCTCACCTCTTCTCAGCCTCTTCTCACCTCTTCTCAACCTCTTCTCGAGCTCTTCTCAACTCTTCCCACCCTCTTCTCACCTCTTTTCAGCCTCTTCTCACCTCTTCTCAACCTCTTCTCGAGCTCTTCTCAACTCTTCCCACCCTCTTCTCACCTCTTCTCAGCCTCTTCTCACCTCTTCTCAACCTCTTCTCGAGCTCTTCTCAACTCTTCCCACCCTCTTCTCACCTCTTCTCAGCCTCTTCTCACCTCTTCTCAACCTGTTCTCGAGATCTTCTCAACCTTTTTTGCTCTGCTCTGCTCTACTCCACTCTATTCTCCACTCCACTCGACTCTGCTCTGCTCCACTCTACTTGTACTCTACTCTACGCTACGCTACGCCACGCGCCGCAATGCTACACTACGCTACGCTACACTGTTGTGTTGTACTCTACCCTAGTCTATTCTATTCTACTCTACTCTACACAGCCCACTGGACTTAAGACCCCAAAGCTACTTCTCTAGTTCAGGTTGGGATGACTTGACTTTCCTCGACTGGACTCGACTCTAGTCTAGTCTACTCTACTCTACTGAGCCTACTGGACTCAAGACTTCTGGGCTACTTCTCTACTTACTTTAGGTTGAGCTGACTTTACTTTTCGTACTCTATTCGACTCGACTCTACCCTACTTTGGCCTACCCTACTCTAAACGAAAACTCAGCCCATTGGACGCCTCTACTTTAGGTTGAACTGACTCTAGGCGACTCGACTCATCTCTAGTCTGCTCTGCTCTATACTCTATACTCTGTGATCTATAGTCTTTAGTCTATAGTCCATAGTCTATACCCTATAGTCTGTACTCTATACTCTATACTACTCTATACTCTATGCTCTATACTCTACTTTACTCTACCCAGTCCACTGAACTGAAGACTTCCTTGATGCAACCAGCCAACTGGACTTTAAGACTTCCTTGCTACTGCCATTGAAAAACCAAACAGTTCAAACGCGAAAACATACGGTTCAACTTTCGTGTTTGGTTTCATTTTTTTCGACGTTTCTTTTTTCTAGTTGTTTTCCAGAACTTGAAGACACCAAAGTGGACTGTTTGAGTTTTCGATTTTTCGAAATCATGTTGTGCACAACTGTATTTTCGATGTTTTCAAAATTAAGCACACTTCCAGACTGAGATCATCACATTTACCCAGCTCAGTGTCTCCGGTCCCGGCCAATTCATGGCGCCGAATCCAAGGTCCGCATCCTATGTTCCATTGAACTTCTGCGTGCCGCAGGAGATGCCATGAGTGCTGGAACTGTCACGACTGGCATGGGGTTGAATTCCTATCGAACACGGCTGATCGTGGTATGTAGCCCCCCTTTGAGAGCGCCAAAGTCGAGGAGATCAGGGTCTTTCGGGAAATTGTTCCACGAATGAAGAATGCCGGAAGACGGGAGGCAATGCCTTCATCCAGTATCCTGCTCAGCATCCAGCTATTCCAAGTTGCATATTGTATCCTGCCATGCCATTCCAAGTTGCTGGTTTTATCTTTCTGTTTTTGAAGTGTGGTTCAACATGGGAGTCACCGAGAAAGGTAAATTTGTCAGAGTTGCTAAGCCAGAAAAATCGGAACCTCAATGCAAACAGTTTGGTCTGGCAACGCCTCCAGAATCTGATCCATTTCATCCAGTATCCGGGCATCACACCCGTCTTAGCCAGAAGTTGCGCAGCAAGTGTTTAAGGATGTTAGGTTTCCCGGGAAAATGGAGTTTCTGTAAATGTCGGCATTGATTTTTCCATATTTTTCCCATCACCATATCGTTGATAGGACTTGAAACTTTCCGAAATCACGCCGCATTTGCAGGTACCGTTCGAAATCCATGCTGAGCAAAGACTTTGAAGCTTGGCTTTGTCATAAAGATTGGCGGTGGTCATGTCGAGTCATGGCATCTCAGCCTGAACAGAGTTCCAGGACAGGTTCAAGTAGCATGTCTGAGTCTTGACATTGCAGTGTCTACTTCAACATCAAATTTGGTTTGTCCAAGAGTGGTGGATGCCCCAAAATAATTTAACATGGCCATTGACATGATGAAAAATCGCTGATCACCATCAATCTTTTTTGGTGGACTGGTACTGATTTTCAGACAAATTGCAGAAACCCAGTCATCTATGACGAAAAGGCAGCAAGCGCATCCCGAGGAAGGGCCTGTCTCCTGGGTAGCCGGGCCTTTCGGTGATTGCATTCGTGCTTGTCCTGGCTCGAGGCACTGCAAGATTTTCGCTGTCGATGAATGTGACCCCGGTCAAATGCAAAATGGATGTGTTTAAAGATTATGGGAAGGTCCCCAATAGGATGGTTGATTATCATTTGCCTCTTTGAATGGCAATTTGAACGCGCACAGCACACTTGCACAATCACACGCAGAGGCAGACAGACTCTCAGCCGACTCTCAGCCAATTTATTTTATTATTGCAATCCTCCTTCTTTTCCTTCTTTTCCTTTTTTCTTATTTTTCTTCGTTTTACTATGTTTCTTCTGTTTTGTTTCTTCTTCTTTTTCTTCTTGTTCTTCTGTTTTTTCCTTTTTCTTCTGTTTTCTTCTTCGTTTCTTCTTTTTCTTCCTGTTATTCCCCACCTGTCAGGTGAGGGTTGTTAGATTTTATGTCAGCTGGCCCGCCGCCTGTGCATCCGCCTCCGCCTCCGCTTCCGCCTCCGCCGGACATCAACTGCAAGCTCTAGATCGCAGTGGTCCCCGCCGGACCTGAGCAGCAACCTCTGGATCAAAGTGATCCCCGCCGGGCCTCAACCACAAAGAATCTCCCAAGATATACCAGATAGAATGCCAGAAAAAATGTCGGAAGATATGCCAGATACATGTGCCAGAAAAATGTCAGATAGAATGCCAGAAGAGATGCCGGAAAGAATGTCAAAATAGATGCCAGATAGATTATCAGAAAGAATGCCAGATAGAATGCCAGAGAAAATGTCAAAATAGATGCCAGAAAGGATGCCAAATACGATGTCAGAATAGATGCCAGGTAAAATGCCAGAGAAGAATGTCAGAATAGAATGTCAGAAAGAATGCCAGAATAGAATGTCAGAAAATATATGCTGCCGCCGCCAGCGCCACCTGCCGGCACTTGGAGAGTCTCCGTATAGAGTCTCTGGATGTGGGACGCCGTGGCTGGACGCTGGACGCCGTGGCCACGTGGCATGCGCGGATTTGGAGAGTCTCCATAGGGTCTCTGGACGCTGGGACGCCGCGGCTGAACGCACTTGCAGAGTCTCCATAGAGTCTCGCTCCGCGTGGCAGGCGCGAGGGTCTCCGTAGAGTGGGACGCTGCGGCTGTTCTCTGTGTAAAAGCTTCTGTGTGTAAAAGCTGCTCTGTGTAAAGGCGTCTGCGTGTGTAAAGTGCCTTTGTGTGAAAGGTGCTCTGTGTAAGGGCTTCCCTGCGTAAAATCTTCTGTGTGTAAAAGCTGCTCTGTGTAAAGGCATCCCTGTGTAGAAGCTTCTGTGTGTAAAAGTGTCTGTGTGTAAAAGCGTCTCTGTGTAAAAGCTGCCCTTTGTAAAAGCTTAGAAGCTGCACTGTGTGTAAAAGCGTCTGTGTGTAAAGCTGCTCTTCGTAGAAAAGCGTCTGTGTGAAAAAAAATAAAAGGCCTTTGTGCAAAAGCTGCCCTGTGTAAAAGCTCCTGTGTGTAAAGGCTTCTCTGTGTAAACGTGTGCAAAGGCTTCCCTGTGTAAAAGCTTCTGTGTGTAAAAGTGTCTGTGTCTAAAAGGGTCTGTGTGTAGAAGCTTCTCTGTGTAAAAGCTGCTTTGTGCAAAAGTGTTTGCGTACGTCTGTGTGTAAAAGGCTTTCTGTGTAAAAGCTTCTGTGTGTAAAAGCTGCTCTGTGTGGAAAAGTGCCTGCGTGTAAAAGGCCTTTGTGCAAAAGCTGCCCTGTGTAAAAAAGCTTCTGCGTGTAAAGGCTTCTCTGTGTAAATACTTCCCTGTGCAAAGGCTTCCCTGTGTAAAAGCTTCTGTGTGTAAAAGTGTCTGTGTGTAAAAGTGTCTGTGTGTAAAAGCGTTTGTGTGTAAAGGCTTCTCTGTGTAAAAGCTTCTGTGTGTTAAAACTCTCTTTCTGTAAAAGTTGCTCTATGTAAAAGCGTTTGTTTGTAAAATGCCTTTGTGTGAAAGGTGCCTTGTGAAAAGGCTTCCCTGCGTAAAATCTTCTGTGTGTAAAAGCTGCTCTGTGTAAAGGCATCCCTGTGTAGAAGCTTCTGTGTGTAAAAGTGTCTGTGTGTAAAAGCGTTTGTGTGTAAAGGCTTCTCTGTGTAAAAGCTTCTGTGTGTTAAAACTCTCTTTCTGTAAAAGTTGCTCTATGTAAAAGCGTTTGTTTGTAAAGCGCCTTTGTGTGAAAGGTGCTCTGTGTAAGGGCTTCCCTTCGTAAAAGCTTCTGTGTGCAAAGACTGCGCTGTGTAAAGGCACCCCTGTGTAAAAGCGTCTGTGTGTAAAAGTGTCTGTGTATGTCTGTGGGTAAAAGGCTTCTCTGTGTAAAAGCTTCTGTGTGTAAAAGCTGCTCTGTGTGGAAAAGTGCCTGTGTGTAAAAGGCCTTTGTGCAAAAGCTGCCCCGTGTAAAAGCTTCTGTGTGTAAAGGCTTCTCTGTGTAGATACTTCTGTGTGTAAAAGCTGCTTTGTGCAAAGGCTTCCCTGTGTAAAAGCTTCTGTGTGTAAAAGTGTCTGTGTGTAAAAGCGTCTGCGTGTAGAGGCCTCTCTCTGTAAAAGCTTCTGTGTGTAAAAACTGCTCTTTGTGTAAAAACTTCTGCGTAAAAGCTGCTCATTTTAAAAGCGTCTGTGTGGAAAGCGCCTTTGTGTGAAAGGTGCTCTGTGTAAGGGTTTCAGTTCGTAAAAACTTCTGTGTGTAAAAACTGCTCTGTGTAAAGGCTTCTCTATGTTAAAGGCTTCTGTGTAAAATCTGGTCTGTCTAAAAGCTTCTGTGTGTAGAGGTTTCTTTGTGTAAATGCTTCTGTGTGTAAAAGCTGCTCTGTGTAAAGGCTTCTCTGTGTAAAGGTTTCTCTGTGTAAATCTGTTTACCTATTTATCTTTCTATCCATCGATCTATCTATCCACCTACCTATTCCCCATCCAATTATCATCTGCTTGCACCATCCCAAGTCATCACCTTCGTCTCATAACAATCAGCATGCTTAACATGTGGGGTTATCTGGTCCTTTAATTTTCCGTGGCGGCATCCACTGTGGATTTCCGTGAGATGAGCGACTTGATTGGGCAGTGGAACACGAAACCGAACTAAATATGAATTGCTTGCGATCGCAAGCATACATTACATATCGGTGCGAATATGGATAGTGTTTTTAGGACCCAGTTCTCTTCGGGCCTTCGGGCTCCTTAACGACTGCCTGTGTCACGGAAGGCGCGCATTCGGAAACAAGCCTGCCTTTCAGAAGCGTGAGGCGATTTCCATTGGGCGGCACTCAATACGGCAAATTTGTGGTAATATAATGCAATATTATATATATATATAATGAAATATGTATACATGTATATTACTATATATATATAACTATATTGGTTCATTTAGAATTATATACAGTTAGTTTTATTTATAATTATATATAGTTATCTTTAAGTATAGTTACTTATATATAGTTTTGTATTATATATATGTATATTCATGTTTTTGTTTTTATAATTATATAGTTATTCATTGTTATATATACTTATACAGCATTGTATTTATATTTACAGTATTTATATTTAATTATGTGGAATTAACATGTTGTTCTTTTCTTTATTTATTACAGTACTTATATTTAATTATGTATAATTATATAGTATATTTTATTTTCCTTTATTTTTTGTTATTCATAATTATAAATATTTTAAGTATATGAACTTATATATAACTAGGTAAGCGGCGGATAGAACGCCGCTTGTTTTTCCAACCGTTGCAAGTTCACTTTCCCTGTGTTTTCTCTGGGTTTTCTGCTTTCGTCCATTTTTTGGACCCTCTCAAATCCTGCGACAAACTACTTCGTTTTATCAATGTTGTATCTGTAAGTGTGTATTTCTTTCTGTCACAAGCTTTGCAGGACGTGAGTTAAATTTTGATACATTCCAACCTCGCGAAGGGAAGCGTTCAAAGACTACCATTAAAATCCTCATGAATCCCATGACTTTTAACTCACAAACAATGGAATTGTGGTAAAAACATTTAAATAAACCTGGGACATAGTCAGGCAACAGCATCACATCCAGAGCGTGTTTCAAAATACTTAGAAAAGTACAGAACATAACACCATGAGCGTGTTACAAGTTCCTTGAAGAAGTGCAGAGCGTAACATCAAGAGCGTGTGAGAAATTCCTTGAAGAAGTGCAGAGCGTAACATCAAGAGCGTGTGAGAAGTTGCTAGGAAAGAGTGCTGAGCGTAACATCAAGGGCGTGTGAGAAGTTCCTTGAAGAAGTGCTGAGCGTAACATCAAGAGCGTGTGAGAAAAGTTCCTTTGAGAGTGTAACATTCAAGAAGTGTTGGACAGAAGTTCCTTGAAAGTGCTGAAGCGTAACATTCAGAGCGTGTTGGACGTTTCCTGAAGAAGTGCGGAGCGTAACATCGAGAGCGTGTGAGAAATTGCTCGGAAAAAGGCTGAGCGTAACATCAAGAGCGTTATGAGAAGTTCCTTGAAGAAGCGCAGATCGTAACATCAAGAGCGTGCTGGACGTTCTCTGAAGAAGTGCAGAGCGTAACATCAAGAGCGTGTGAGAAATTCCTTGAAGAAGTGCAGAGCGTAACATCAAGAGCGTGTGAGAAGTTGCTAGGAAAGAGTGCTGAGCGTAACATCAAGGGCGTGTGAGAAGTTCCTTGAAGAAGTGCTGAGCGTAACATCAAGAGCGTGTTAGGCAAGAGCGCGTTCCACGCACTCTGCACATGACGTTAATACCCCACCCCACCCCACCCAGGCCCACCCCACCCCATCGACAGAGCAAGACCGCGTGAGAAAAAGTAGAAGAGAAACAGAAAAACGCACGAAAGCTGGCGGCGTGCTATCCGCCGCCAGCCAACTACATCTATATATATATATATATTTATAATATATATATATATTTATAATATATATATATAGATCGAAACGTGTGTCTTTGCGTGTCCGGGTGACCTTGGGATCAACAGGAAACGACTCTAAAGTAGAGGCATGGGACTTCATCCAAAGTAGAACTGCCCAATTTTTGACCCGAACATATCAGACACCTTCGGCCAGGTGAAGTGCTACTCACTAAATGCTGAACAGCTTGATGATCACGAATGTGGGCATTTGATGAAGCCTCGGAAGTACAAGCCGCTTGGATTTGCTCATGATTTCCACAATAGCCCCAGGGTGGAGCTTATGAAGTGTCAAAAGATGCCGCCTGCAAGCAGTTTTCAATCGTGTCAGCGCATTCAGAGCCAAATTCAAGGACTGCCTGTGCAAGGTTTGCTACCAGTTCACTAAACCCGTTCCTATTTTCGCAGTTTTCCTATGTGGAAGACCCGTGTTGACACAATACTTTTATTCTGCCTAGGCGTTGCCACTGCGGAGTCCTTTCGTGCCCCAAAGAGTGCAGCGACTGTGATGAAGAAGACGAACCCAGTGCACACCTTAGCGTCAATTCCAACGCAGGCTGGTTGGTTGTCATATCCCTCAACTGCGCATGCACCAAATGCGTCCCAATGCAATCATTTTCATTATGAAAGCACCATCTTTGCCGTGGCATCCCATAGTCTCTCGACAAGATATTGGCGCATGGTCCAATGTTGAAAAAGGACAAGTACCTCGCAAAATGACACATTTTTTGCATATCTTGGCTGTGGTCAATCACGGAACCTCTGCCTCCTACCTCTTGGCATCTCGTTGGTGTGAGTTCATTGCCTCCATTTGCAATTGTAGTTTTCCAATGTACTGGTTTTTCAAACTTTGGGATAGCCCTTGGAGGGATGGCCACTGGAGTATGTGCTGGAATTGGAATGTTTTGACACGTTTTGGTCCGTGTTTTCGCGCTGTTGTATCTTTAGTCTTTGGTGTGCTGTGCCCACTTTTGAATTCTTTTTGGCATTGATGAGTGCAGCGAATGCCCCGTCTCAGTTCAAACTGGAGACAGTTTCACCCCTTTCTTGGGTTCTCTCCAGCTGTTGTATGCAGGGCCTGGTCCCAAGGTGGCAACTCAGAATTTGGAGAAAGCCGGGACAGTGAGTTTGAGTTGGTCGGCTGCTTTCCACTAGGCTGGATTTGGATGCAGGGAAGCCTCAAAAATCACAGCATTGCTTTCCCAGGACATACCTGGACACAGGTTGTCATGAAATTTCATGGAACCCACATATAAAAATATGCGGTATCTAAGATTTCAAAATGTTTCATTTTTTTTGATATCATCTGAGAATCCCCAAAGGTGACCTGCCACTTTCTCAACCTGTCGCTTGCAGGCGACGGCGACGTCACTGGTGAAACAGAAGAGGCAGCGGACTTCAAATGCCGAGACTGGACCGATGACAGCGCTGCATGTCGAAGCGGTTTGCCGATCCTTGACAGAAACCATGGGCTTGTGAGTGGAGGGGCAACTGAGCCGAAAGAGGTATCCAAAAATCAGTTCAAAGCTACAAAGGGTTTGTCTTGTGCGCTACACAGCTAGATGTTCTTGACAGAATAGATCAAACTAGGCAAGCGTCTGGTTCAATGAGGTTCTACCGTTTGCAAACGAACCACGACATGACACCAGAGCTTTGCTTTGAATTTTGCATCGGTGCTGGATTGGATCTGTTTGGTTTGGTGGGTGAAGAGTGTCGCTGTGGTGCCTCCCTGCTCAACAAAGACGTGTGGCAGATGGCGGCTCCACGAACGACGGGCCTATTGCTACCATTGGCCAAGCAGCTTCCCGACACAGAAATGCAATGCCCTGTTCGTGTCTACCGGTGGATTGGTCCTTTCGTTTCAGGGGGCTCTGTGCCCGAGCACTTGCAAATGTTGCACCACGGCTCAGATATGCTCAGATTCCGCCTTTGAAATTCTTTCACTATTCTGGCATATTCAAGATATTTCAAGATGTTGATAGTTTCTGTGTGAGTGCTCCTTTCACTGCAATTTTTGAGGCATGTTGGCAACACCATCTACGTGGATTCCATTGTTACTGGAACCGACATTTCTGAAGAACAGGAGAGATAGTGCCTCTCAAATACGCCTAGCGGAAATTGGTTGAAACATTAGTTGACCCACGAATAATTATGACGAATGATTATATCCAGATCTATGAAGGGGGAGAGTGGGAGAGAGAGAGAGAGAGACAGAGAGACAGAGAGACAGAGAGACAGAGAGACAGCGAGAGAGAGAGAGAGAGACAGAGAGACACAGAGAGACACAGAGAGACACAGAGAGACACAGAGAGACACAGAGAGACACAGAGAGACACAGAGAGACACAGAGAGACACAGAGAGACACAGAGAGACACAGAGAGACACAGAGAGACACAGAGAGACACAGAGAGACACAGAGAGACATAGAGAGACACAGAGAGACACAGAGAGACACACAGAGAGACACACAGAGAGACAGAGAGAGAGAGAGAGAGATAGATAAGATAAGATAAGATAAGATAGGATAGGATAGGATAGGATAAGATAGATAAGATAGGATAGGATAAGATAGATCAGATAGGATAATAGAGATAAGATAGGATAATAGATAGATAGATGGATGGATGGATAGATAGATAGATAGATAGATAATTAGATTTGAATAGATAATTAGATTTGAATAGATGATTGGATAGAATCGATAATTAGATTTGAATAGATAATTAGATTAGATTAGATTTAGATTAGATTAGATTAGATTAGACAGACAGACAGACAGATAGATAGATAGATAGAGAGACAGAGAGAGGGAGAGGGAGGAGGAGGAGGGCGAGAGGAGGAGGGGAGAGGGAGGAGGGAGGAGGGAGGAGGGAGGAGGGAGGAGGGAGGAGGTGAGGAGCGGAGGGGAGAGGAGAGAGGAGAGAGGAGAGAGGAGAGAGAGGAGAGAGAGGTGAGAGAGGGAGAGAGGTGAGAGAGGTGAGCGAGGTTGAGAGAGGTGAGAGAGGTGAGAGAGGTGAGGAGAGAGGAGAGAGGGGAGGAGAGAGAGGTGAGGAGAGAGGAGAGAGGTGAGGAGAGAGGAGAGAGGTGAGAGAGGTGAGAGAGGTGAGAGAGGTGAGAGAGGTGAGAGAGGTGAGAGAGGTGAGAGAGGTGAGAGAGGTGAGAGAGGTGAGAGAGGAGAGGGAGAGGGAGAGGGAGAGGGCAGGAAGAGGGCAGGGAGAGGGCAGGGAGAGGGCAGCGAGAAAACAGGGGGCAGGGAAAGGGCAGGGAGAGCGCAGGGTGAGGGGTAGAGAGAGAGAGAGAGTGAGAGAGAGGGAGAGAGAGAGAGAGAGTGTGTGTGTGCGTGTGTGCGCCTGCGCCTGCTCAAGCTACTGTATGAATAGGAGAATTGACAACAACAATATCAATAATAATGCTTTCCTCATCGGTTGACCCCTGAAGTGACTATTGAATTAAGAGACAACCGTCGCTCAAAGTTCCAGGAGGAAGACGGAAAGATCCCACCGGAGTTACTTCAGAAGTTCGATGCCGAGAGCCAACAGATCCAAAAAGAGCGCGCGGCTTCAGGAAAAGAAGACCCTATGTGGGACAGGTGCACTTGTCCGATTTGGGTTGATTCGCCTTTATTCACGTTGATTTTAAGTGTGTCATGATGAACACCCGGGTTGTGTCATTTTCTCTTTCCGCATTGGGGCGATCGGGGGGTGCATTGTTCAATCCCACAACAACGATATCGCGCCAACTGTTAAGTCAGCAAAATGTTTCAACATTTTGCCACGGCAAGAGCAGCGGCTTGCCTCACCAGGCCATGTGACGATGACGATGGTTGCCAAGCGGCAAGGCCGTGGATCGAACGCACCACTGTAGCTCCAGAAGGCATGCTCAGCCAATGGCAAGAGCAACCAGACACCAAGAACCATACCCTGGTTATTTTGTCGGAGAATGTGACATTGATGAGTTCCGAATTGTGTCCCATGTATTTCATTGCATGTCTGATGTAAGTTCCCATTTGTCAGTGATGACTTGTAGTAGGAATAGGATGCCCCTTGGAATTTCCCCTAGGAAATGGCGGGCCTGGGCCCCACGATTACTTAGTGATTTGGATTTTATGGGTTTTCCATCTTTGACCACTTGCATTCTTTAGAGGCATATTGGTCGCTATTTGACCTCATCTGGTGGAAGCTGGAGGTTCCATGTTTTTGAGTTCCGGGTTATCATCCGGGATCACCTCGACTCTAAATTTACAATTTCCCATTCTTTAGACACCAGTTGTGTGTTTTCAAAAAAACGAAGTTCCATTTTTTAGAGCACATTGGTTAAATGACATCACGACGCCCTCCATTTTATAGAGCTCACTAGTTCAATGACATCAAGGGGTATGTGCTGGGGCCCTCCATTTTATAGAAAAAAACGTGCGGAAACACTGACATATCATAAACAGTTACAACATATTATAAATCTCTAAAGAATGGTGGTCCAAGATCTTGAAATACAAACAAAATTTTCACGTAATTTCAAAACTTCTCTGTTCACCATTTCCTAGAGAAAAATAGAGGAAAAAATGAAATAAAGCACTTTTCAAGACAATCACCGATTCTTCCATTTTATGGACATGCCTCTGTTTGTAAGACCCTCGGAGGTTCCATTCTGTAGAGATTGGGGTTCCATTCTATAGAGATTTGTTATGATATGTTAGTCCGGTCTCTCCATTCTATAGAGCTCGGGGTTCCATTCTTCAGATGTCCCACTTCTAGCCCCCCTGGGTCCACTAAAGAATTGACCCACCCACCCTTTTTACTTAATCCAGAGGGGGATGGAATAGGCATTTTTAGGAAGGTGCCTTGTGGAATCTTAGTGCCATCCATCCGCTACTTCGCGTGGTGTGCAGAGCGGATAAACACAATCCCTCGTTGCATTGGACCTCGGACTTTCTTACCTACTTCGCCTTCCATGTAGATTTCCGCATTGCAAAGACCTGTCTCGACCCACAGTGGACAGAACACCTTCAAGGGAGCATTCGATGCAGGTCAGGGATGGGCATTTCAGAGATTTTACTTTGGCACGTGGATAAACTGAAGGCTTCAATTGCTGCTCAGGTCTCTCCGGTTAGATCCACTTGTCGAATCTTAGATTTTTCTGGTGCTAACTGTCCGTGTCCGAGGTATGTCATGGTGCGCTACAAGTTTGATGTTGGTGTTGATGACACTCGCAAGGAAGCTTTCCGTGCAGCAGCAGCAGACTGGCGCACGCACACCTGCATCGCAGTGGTGGAGGATGATAACGCGGAAACTTGATCTGGTGAGGTTAATGAAGGGCTCATGGCTTTATTGTCTTCTAGATTTGGAGCTTGTAGTTTCAGTTCTACTTCGGATCATGTTGAAACCACAAAAGAGTGACCAAGCATGAGGCTGGGGTGCTAAGGCTGCTAAGGCCTATCCAAACTGCTCTTGAAATGAGTTTGATTAATCGAAGCCTGGGAGATCTGGGAGTCATTTTGCTCACAAGGCATATCCTTACATCCTGGTGGGCATCTATGCTGAAGGAAGCTGTTGGGCCTACTTGGGACGACCTTCGACTTACCACAAGATCAACCTGGGATGGTGCAAAACCATGAGCCACAAAGGATCAATGGTTCATGAACTTGGCCATGGTGCCTGGGTTGAAGAACTGGAAGATGTGGTTTGACGATGGTTGATGATTGAAAATTAGTTCGAGTCGCTTCGCGACGAGTAGTGCCCGCACCCAGGGAATAAGCCAGAGAGGAAAGAAGCGGCCTACTTGGCCCAACCAAAGCCAACTGGGGTCAAACTTGGCCGTCCTTGGACTTGGGCCTAACTTGCGCCGAACTCGGGCCAGTTGGCACCAACTTCAACTTGAGCCCAACTGGGGCAACTTGGGCACGTTTGGACAGAAGTTGGGCTGAACATGCGCAACTTGGTCCTGTGTGGAGGCATCTGGGGCCCAACGTGAGCCCAAGTTGGAGCCAATTGGTAACGTTGGGCTGAAGTTGGGCTAAACTGAAGCTATGTGATGCATATTCAACAAGGGGCAACTTGGGACCCTTTGGTGTCATTTTTGCTCGAAGTGCGGCCCAACGGTGGAACACTGCGCACCATGACGTGTCATCGATGCCCAAAAAAATGTGGGAAATACAAATCAAAACGGGTGTTTTCGCCATGTCCCCTCCATTTTGAAGACATGTGGGCCTCAACTTGGGCCACAGCCCAAACAGGCCCAACTTGGGGCCAAGTTGCGGCATTGAGCCAAGTGGACCCGGGTTGGGCCGAAGTTGGGGCTTGTTGGCCAAAGTTGAGCCCAAGTGGAGCCCATGCTGCGGAAATTTCGGATCGAACATGGACGATGTTTTGCCGATATGCAAAATATGCAAAATATGCAAATTACTAGTGGGGAAACTACCACGTCTCGCGGGCGGACTTGTATGATTTTGTATGTGTATTATGTTATGTGTACATGTACTACACTATGTTGTATGAATACACATATCTACCTCAAGTGGCTTCAGGTTTGTGCTTGATCCACACTTCGACTCGGTTTTGGTGCTTTTGAGATGGTCCAGATCTGAGGTTTGGGCGTCAACCATGAGCAAAAGCGTGCTGATGGGTCGCAACAATACCATGGCAAGGGACCACACCTTGAGATGTTTTGGCAGAACACTGAGTCATGGGGAAGTCAGTACACCCCTGCCGTCAATACCTACATCGGTTCTGCACATGATGGTGGAGACGATCCTCAAATTGGCTATGCTCCGTATGACTTTGATACTCGTCAAAACAGAAATCTCCAGACCAGCGCAAGTGCGGCAATTTCAAATTATGGTCTTTGCGTGGTTTGGAAAGAAGGCTATGTATAAGATTAAAAACTGTGGATATTTCCATGGTTGTTTGAATTTGCGAGTCCCTTTTATTTTGGACCATGGGGCAGCAGAGTCTTCCAAGTGTTTTTTTGTCCGAAGGAAAGCATTATGCACTACTTTCGACAGCGAAATGCCGACCGCACTGTCAACGACGGTCGCTCAATCGCATTAGAGATGTTGGATGCTGGTTGGCGGCTGGTGAAGCACCAGATCCATCCAGATCCGTGCACCGCGTGGGCTGAACACAGTTTGAGCGCTTTATCACCTTCATCCGGTGAAAACCCTTTCGAGAGAAACCACGCAGAAGGAAGAGAAGGGGGAACATAGCTGACAAAAACTAGAAACTCTCGCCTCAGAATTGGGGAGAAACAGGCGCCAAAACCAGGTTGTCACTTGACAGTCATAATCGTGAGAACTTGAGCTGGCAACCTTGAAGCACGGGGGTTATTTGGGACCCGGATCATGAATCGTTGCTGGGCAGATGTGTTTTTTGAAGAACCCGGCGTGAGGGAATTGCCATTAATTTATCGTGCAGAGCTCTCGATGAGGCTGGTACTTCAACACCATTCCATCGTCTGCCCAGAGCCTCGTCGGGCAACGCCATGCCTTGTCTGCAGGGGACATCAAGCAAGCTTTGGACGCGTATCGATGCAGAGCACCAGCCCCTACAACGACTACCACAACTACAACGACTACAACTACCACAACAACAACTACTACAACCACAACCACCACAACGACAACTACCACAACCACAACCACCACAACGACAACTACCACAACCACCACAACGACAACTACCACAACCACCGCAACCACAACCACAGTTCCAACTACAACAGCGACTACAACTACGACCACAACTACGACCACAACTACGACCACGACTACGACCATGGCCACGACTACAACCACTACGACCACAACCACCACGACTACCACGACTACCACCACGACTACCACCACGACAACCACCACGACAACAACCACCACCACCACCACCACCACCACAACCACAACAACAACCACAACAACAACCACAACTACCACCACAACTACCACTACAACCACCACTACAACCACCACTACAACCACCACCACCACCACCACCACCACCACTACCACCACAACCACTACAACAATTGCGTCTTCGACCGCAACGCTGGAAGCGCGCGAAGTCACGCTCAACACTCAATCATGGGTCAGCGTTGACTTCACCCAGCCTTTTGCGGAAGTTCCAGTGGTGGTTGTGACGCCAACCGAGTCAGGCTGCCCATGCACACACACACACAGAATCAGTGTTTTGGAAGACAGTGCCTGAAGGTAGTACACAGACTGAGACCATATATAAGATTTTTCAATGGCAGTAGAACTTTAGAACCGGAGCTACTGCAGCGCCGATTTGAGCCAGAAGAAATATTGTAAAAGTATGTAAAAGTGATTTTTGCAGCCTCGCAGGAAACACCGATCCAGCATCCGTTCGCGTAAAAGATATCACTACCTCGGGCTTCTCAGCGAGAATTTCCAAACCACCCAGAACATCTCTGGGTGATCATACCATGACAGAGTCTCAGCTGAATGTCCTGTGGCGGATCCATACCCAATCCCTGCCCTGCAGCTGATTCGGTTGAGTCGTTAGGTGCTTTGAAAGGGAACTTCAATTGTCCAAATATCCCACAATATCCTAAGTGTTTGACTCGTGGTTGGTTGAAACATTTTGAACCGACCAATCACACCATGTCACATGTCGCGGTCCTTTCATGTCGATGGATCCTATAGCTTTTCATCAGGTGACTTTCCTTGCAGCTGCACCGGGCGTACGGCAACTGGCAGGAGCCGGGAATTCCAAGCACAGAGGTCCAAAGATGGAGGGAACGGCCAAATATCCAAAATATTTCCCAATAGCAACCTAAACATTAGCACACACTTCACAACTAAACGGCGAAAGGTGGGAAAATGATGCCAGCTTGATAATTTGTGGCAAACATGACCGGCAGAAAAATGGAGGTGCTCTCGTGGCGTACTCCACCCCATGTGCTTGCAATTGAAAGCATGACCGCGCACAGTTCGATTGCACAACTATGCATTTTCTCCAGGACTTTGGGTGGAGGTTGGCACAATTTCGACGCAAAAATGCATATATTCCAGCAAGAAGTGCCCAGGTTCAGGTGCGGAGACTTGCACATGAAGCTATTGATGTGGTCACAATATTCACACGGCACCTCAGGCCTACCTGGGAAGAAGTGGCAGCAGATCGCCTTTGCCCATGAGTTTCCGGCCCCACCGGCTTTCCTCACCAGCGTTCAGACTCTGAACAACGCAGAAACGTGGCTGACCGTCCCTCAGCAATGGATGAAGTGAACTGATTCAGCATGGTGGTGAGTTTTTCCCCACACCTTTGTGTGGGGTTATTGTTTTTGATGCTGTATCCTGCCGCCGCCGCCTCACTCCTCCGCCTCCTCCGCCGCCCGTCTTCTCACTCACACAACTCTTTGTCACACACCATCTTTCACACACAACTCTGACACACAATCTTTCACACACACAACTTTGTCACACACCATCTTTCACAACCCTTTGTCACACACCATCTTTCACACACAACACACAACTTTGTCACACACCATCTCGACTTTGTCACACACAACTTTGTCACAAACCATCTCAACTGTGTCACACGCCATCTTTCACACATAACTTTCTGTCACACACCATCTTTCACAAACACCTTTCCGCGGTACTGTGCGTCGCAGGCGTGGCACTTGGCGACGTTGACTTGCATTTTGTGTGGCAGGCGTGGCACTTGCGGCACTGGGTTGGCTCTGGCGCGCTTGGGCACGCTGGGTCTCCCGGGGCGCCGCACCACTTTGCGTGGCAGGCGTGCCACTTGGTGACATCCACCTTGGTTTCGCGTGGCAGGCGTGGTACTTGCGGCACTGGGTTGGCTCTGGTGGCGCGCTTGGGCGCGCTCGGTCGCCCGCAGCCACTTGCGTGGCAGGCGTGGCGCTTGGTGACATCCACCCTCGTGGCACTTGGGACACTGGGCTGGCTCTGGTGGCGCGGTTGGGCGCGCTGGGTCGCCCGGGGCGCCATGCCACTTTGCGTGGCAGGCGTGGCACTTGGTGAAATCCATCTTGGTTTTTGCGTGGCAGGTGTGGCACTTGGTGACATCCACCTTGGTTTCGCGTAGCAGGGGTGGCACTTGGTGACATCCACCTGTGTGTTGCGTGGCAGGTGTGGCACCTATTTGTCAGACACAACTTTGTCACACACACAACTTTGTTGTGCGGTCATAGATGGAAACTTTGTGGAAACGATGCTGGTACGAGCGTTGCTGGCATGTTTTGGCGTTTGATAGTTTTTCTTTGCTGTCAGGCGCTGGCCCAAGATGGTGGTGCCCACGGGCAACGTTCGAGCCAGGCGCTTAAGTTTTCTTTGTTGCCAGAGTTGTTCGATGCTTTATGGCCTTTTCGATCCTGCAAACGCATTTGCATGTCGTCAATTTTTCCGCAGGCTCAAACAGACTCATTCCCTAATCTGATATCTATATTTGCGCATTAAGCGCACTTATCGTCAGCCCATGGAATGGCAACAGTTGCAGACCTCGACGCAGCATGAGGTCTGGTCTCTGATTGAAACCTTAGAAGCTGCTCGACGCAGATTGGATTTTGATCAGACCGAACTACGATCCATGTCTCCTCGTACTACAGTAGCTGTGCAGACCTACTATCAAGTGACGCTTCAGCGTGTGGACGCCTGCGTTGATATCTTGAAGAACCTGCATACGGAACTCTGGCGCATGAATAATCTTCCTTTGGAACCCACACACCAATGCACCACTGGAGATGACGGTTCTTCCTTTGACCCAACGTGGGAAGAAATCGCGTGCGCCGCAGTTCACGTTGGTGGTTGGCGGTGCAAAAAAAGTGGACCGGATAACCCCACAAGTCAACTTCTTCCAATAATGAGCAACAAATGTTGTAGAGGGACGGGTAAGGAAGGAAAGACAAAGGAGGTGGTGAAGGATCGAGAAGTAAAAAACAGGTTGTGTGTGACAAAGTGGTGTGTGAAAGATGGTGTGTGACAAAGTGGTGTGTCAAAGATGGTGTGTGACAAAGTTGTGTGTGAAAGATGGTGTGTGAAAGATGGTGTGTGACAAAGTGGTGTGTGAAAGATGGTGTGTGACAAAGTGGTGTGTCAAAGATGGTGTGTGACAAAGTTGTGTGTGTGAAAGATGGTGTGGTGAAAGATGATGTGTGATAAAGTGGTGTGAAAGATGGTGTTTCAAAGCTGGTGTGTCAAAGATGGTGTGTGAAAGATGGTCTGTGTCAAAGATGGTGTGTGACAAAGTGGTTTGATAGATGGCGTGTCAAAGAATGTGGGTGACAAAGTGGTGTGTGAAGGATGGTGTGTCAAAGATGGTGTGTGACAAAGTTGTGTGTGAAAGATGATGTGTGAAAGATGGTGTGTCAAAGATGGTGTGTGTGACAAAGTTGTGTGTGAAAGATGATGTGTGAAAGATGGTGTGTCACAGATGGTGTGTCAAAGATGGTGTGTGACAAAGTTGTGTGTGAAAGATGGTGAGTGAAAGATGGTGTGTGACAAAGTGGTGTGAAAGATTGTGTGTGAAAGATGGTGTGTGACAAAGCGGTGTGTCAAAGATGGTGTGTGACAAAGTTGTGCGTGAAAGATGGTGTGTGAAAGATGGTGTGTGACAAAGTGGTGTGTGACAAAGTGGTGTGTGGAAGATGGTGTGTGATAGATGGTGTGTGACAAAGTGGTGTGTGAAAGATGGTGTGTGACAAAGTGGTGTGTAAAAGATGGTGTGTGACAGATGGTGTGTCAAAGATGGTGTGTGACAAAGTTGTGTGTGAAAGATGGTGTGTGACAAAGTGGTGTGTCAAAGATGGTGTGTGACAAAGTTGTGTGTGAAAGATGGTGTGTGAAAGATGGTGTGTGTGAAAGATGGTGTGTGAAAGATGGTGTGTGAAAGATGGTGTGTGTGACGAAGTGCAACACTGCCAGCCAAGTGCCAAAAGTGCCACACCTGCCACGTAAATGGAAGGTCAATGTCACCAAGTGCCACACCTGCCACGCAAGTGGCTGCGGGCGATCGAGCGCGCCCAAGCGCGCCACCAGAGCCAACCCAGTGCCGCAAGTACCACGCCTGCCACGCGAAACCAAGGTGGATGTCACCAAGCGCCACGCCTGCCACACAAAACGAACGCAGATGTGACAAAGTTGTGTGTGAAAGATGGTGTGTGACAAAGTTGTGTGCGAAAGATGGTGTGACAAAGTTGTGTGTGAAAGATGGTGTGTGTGACAAAGTTGTGTGTGTGTGTGAAAGATGGTGTGTGACAAAGTTGGGTGTGAAAGATGGTGTGTGACGAAGTTGGTGTATGAAAGATGGTGTGTGAAAGGTGGTGTGTGACAAAGTTGTGTGAGTGAGATGGTGTGAGAAAGATGGTGCGTGACAAAGTTGTGTGAGTGAGATGATGTGAGAAAGATGGTGTGTGACAAAGTTATGTGACAAAGTTGCGTGTGACAAAGTTGTGGGTGACAAAGTTGTGTGTGAAAGATGGTGTGTGACAAAGTTGTGTGTGAAAGATTGCGTGTCAAAGGTGTGCGTGAAAGATGGTGTGTGACAAAGTTGTGTGTGTGACAAAGTTGTGTGTGACAGATGGTGTGTGACAAAGAGTTGTGTGAGTGAGAATTGTGTGACAGATGGTGTGTGACAAAGTTGTGTTTGAAAGATGGTGTGTGACAAAGAGTTGTGTGAGTGAGAAGAGAGTGAGGCGGCGGCGGCGGGATACAGAATCAAGAACAAGAACCCCACACAAAGATGTGGGGAAAAAACAGGATAACGACCGAACGACCATGTGCTTTTGGTTTCTCATGCGCCTGTGACTTCCGGTAATCTCACAGCGAAGAGTGGATGCCAGCGTTTGCTTCGGGGCCGTGTGCTACTAGTCGACAGTCGAAGGTCAAAATAGTAATTGCGGGCCAGGTTTGGTTACGTGAATGTTGTGGCATGATTTGCCCGGCAATTGAGACGTCAATGTCTGCGGATGGTTTCGATTTGCTTATGGAAATTTGCCAGGTGATCAAAAGCCATTGCTCTTTGGGCAAGGTGGGAACTCGCATTGCTTGTTGGTGTTTTATGATTGCAAATTGGTCACACCTGTAAGTGGCGTTCTTTGATGTCTTGTGACGGCATCTTTCTCATTAAGCTTGTGGTCCATTCTTCTCGCACGATGCACATCTGCAGGGTCGAACATGTTCACGATGCTTCGTCACTTGGTCATCTATCTCTGTTGTAGT